GGCCCAAACAAGACTAATTTTTTACCTAAAACAGATTTTAGGTCCAATTGCAGCATGTTAGATAAGGTAGATGAGATGTTGTCTAGGCATAGAAGAGATTAAACCCAACTTGAAGCAAGTCTGTGACTCAATAAACAGTTAGAGGTATTATGTTTAAGTCCAAAAGAGATTAGTTCAAATGTAAACCAGGATTAGACACTTAATTGTAGTATAGCAATTGAAGTAGAGACATCATCCAAGGCTAGAAGAGATTAATCCCAACTTAGACTAGGTGTGAGACCTGATCGTAATATGTAATGTAGATCTATGAGGCATCAAGTAGACCCAAAAGACTAATCCAAACCTAGATCAGCTTCAAGATGTAATTATAGCATGACTTATATGAGGTATCGTCTAGGTTCATAAGATATTAATCTTAATATTATATAAACTACATGAAACCTCATCTATCCTCAGAAGGGACTAATTCAAAGTTAAGCTAGGCTAAAACACTGTTCTGGATGAACTCTAACACAGTATAATGTAGGTTTACCATAAACTGAATGTAGAGTTAATTTAAGATCATCTTACAGATTGAATCCAGTTTAGCCTAAACTGAAATGACATTGGACGTCGTCTCAGCAGAAATGGTACGCACTCTGACCCAGGCCTGATCAGTTTAATCTAGGCCTACCACAAATTACTCGATTCCAACTTGGATTTGATTCAGACAAAGCTTAGCGGAGTCATCCTAAATTAGATCTCAACCCAATTACCGTGTCCTATGCCAGGGGCAATAGATACTTCCACACACATGGTGTAGGAAATTGGTGCTAGATCTAGGTTAATCTCAAATACAGACTAGTTTACTATAATTCTAATTGAAATTGAGTTGCTTCTAGTGCAACAACTAAGGTGGGCTCACATGGGGTATCACGTAGGCTAAAAGTGATTAATCCACCTAAATTTGTGACCTAGTTGTAGTACAACAGTTAAAATAGACCTAAATGAGAAATCAACTAGGCTCAGAAGAGACTAATCCGAACTTAAACCAGGGTCAAAGACTTAAGGCCAAGATTGAGACCCAATGTGTCATCTAAAATGGATGTATATAAAGTATCATCTAAGCCTAGAAGAGATTAATCCAAATCATGATGTAACTATGCAATATGAAAACTAACGTTGATCTACAAGCCTAGCTTATAAAGGTTAAACCCTAGACCAGGTTTAAGATTGAATCGTAGTAGGATAGCATTATAAGTAGACTTAAACGGGGCATAGTTAATCCAGAGTTTAAGTTTAAGTGAATCTATCCTAGATGAAATTTAACGCAACATTGATTTGCTCGAGATCCGACGCAGATGCTACGTAGCCTTATTGTCTAGCGCTGCGCGGTACCGTTTTATAACACGATGTTTCGGATTGTAGCGTTAAACATAAAAGTATTACACACGTTATGTGCACTCCGGTGCTACCCGACAGCTGTCGAGCGCCATTCGTGTCCTTAATTCTGTTTTCTCTTGCCATCGACGTCGACCCAAATTTTCTGAGACACCTTTACTCGTGGTCAGCCACCACTCGATTGTAATCGGTCTTCTCGAGGTTGCGCGAGCGCATTCTCAGGCCGTTACAGTGGTCATTGGCTGACTCCATCGTGATAAACGCGTCACGTGTTCTCTTAGCCTCGTCTTATTGGTCCATTTTACTTCTTTTCGTTTAGGTTTAAGGATTTATGATACTAGGCTCGCCTGCGTGCCAAACGTTCAACGTGATGGAATCTGTTCAATAGTGAATACAACATGAGGAGGAGGGGGGGGGGATACAGAAGCTTGTGACTCTATTCAAATTTTAATTACTATTTAACATTTGTCAAAAGCAATTAAAGTTCGGATGGTTTCTATATTAGTTGACAGATGTTGAACAATTAAAATTGAATATTTTTATTTTTACTTATAATTTTTATGGATGGGATTCTCGAGCGTTTTGTTTGCCCCGCCTCCTTTACATTTGTTAGCACTTCCAGATCCGTTATTGGAACAAAATAATGGAACAATCAGACTGTGCAATTTATTAGAGACTGTGTATCCATTCAGACGCTCCTAAGAATCTCTTTTGTGGTTCGTGGATCATTACATGCTCGGCGGTTTTAGCGCGAATCGGCCATTCTCAGAACACTTTCGAACCCAGACGTCTGTCAGTCGCGCTACATCACGCGCTGCACTACGAAACTTATCTCTCCTCGTTTTTATGAAACTTTCGAAACAGGAAGCACGCGTTCGAATTCTACGAGCGTAAGAAAAAAATTCGTTGTCGACTCGTGCCGGGTTTTTATGAAACGTGTATAACAACGAGGTAAATCGCAAATTTACATTCGCGCAATTTGCGCTTGTCGAAGGAAGGTCAGTCGTGGAATATACCCGGTTGAAAACGAGTCATTGGTACGGAGGAAAGAAATGAAATGGTTCAAAAATACCACACGCCGAATCGCGTTTTCGTTCTCTTTGTTTCGGAATCAGCTCGCTGTGCAGAACGTTACAGTTTTACATAAGCACGTGCTATCAAGACTAGACATTATTCCAGTGAATTATAAATCGCACGCCGCTCGTAATCTAGCGATCTGCCTCGAAACAGGATGTTGAATTAAATGTCGCTACGCGGCGCGAAACATCTGGCTGAAACCTTGCATCGACGAAGAGCCAGACAGAGACGAAGCGAAACACGAAAGGAGGTTTCATAGTTATCAATTTTACTCGTAATAACCCGTAACGACGTGGAAGATATTTCTTTTTTTGCATAAAATAGCTTCCAACAATGGAGGTAATGTTTCTGTAAAAAGCAGACTAATTTCAAATTTCATTGCTGCAAATTGCAAGAAAAATGCAGAGAATGACTGTGAGGAATTAGTATGTCGCTCCGATGAAAATGTTTCCGCATTCGTTTGCTTTGGTTTCGAGATACCACGCGAGCCGCGAGACGAACATCAATTTGTAAGGATAGGTGAACAAATTAAATAAAAAAAGAAAGTACAAAGAGAATCGTTAAGCTCTTACGTAGGGTATTTACTTCGATCCATTAACGTGTTATTATGTAAGAAATAATAATCGTTCCTCATCCGCCGTGCCCAGTGCGCGATAAATAATTTACAGCGAAACGAATATCGGCGAGATAAAATTTATTTTATAGATTCCTTCTTCCAAATACCCCGTTACTATATCCATCTAACTGTTCCTATCTCTCTGGCTTCGTTTTGTTCGTCGTTTCGCCGCGTATCCTTTTACTCCTATCTCGAGAAACCACGTTATTAATTATTTCCATTTAATTATTATATCTGGAACGGTATCGCGTTATCGGGATTAATTAATCAGACGTCAAAGAGAATCCACGATCGTCCGCGTCTCGTTTCAGACGTCGCGTCGTTAAGATTTCATTAGTGTTGTTGAACCACTACAGCTCAATTCCTGGACGATTTCTTCCACAGTAATTAGTTACGACGCCGCGAGAGGAAAGTAATTTTTGGACTTTCATAACTCGTTCTGTATTTATTCCGAGTTTCTATTTCTAATTTCATTGAAATTAGTATCGTTTCTAAACGTGCGTTTAAATTGATAGAAAATAGAAAAATTTTCTGTTGCTCTGAAATTGTAATTGGTTGAATTGCCGCGAGGAAAATATGCTTTAGACTTTCACGGAATATTCTATATTTATGATGAATTCGATTCCGTTTTTCTTCAATTATTTTAGTTTTACGTCTTGAAAATTTTCCGTAGAATAGCGTAGGTTAATTTTTCATATATTATTTTGTATTTGTGCAGATGCATGCGTTAATAAATAAATAATCTCGTAAGTACACGCTCGGATATGGAGATATGAATATTTATAGTTGATTAGTAACAACACGATTTAATTATCTTATTCTTTGGACTTGCAAATGGTTGAAACGTCGAGTTGAGTCTGCGTTAGAAATACCTGCAGTGTTTAAAAAAATATCAGAAAAAAAGAATTTCTTCACAATGATGCGTAATTTCACCAGATCGTTTTATTTCATGAAAAATTTTCACACTAGATAATCGCGTCAAGGAGAAACGAAGGTCACCTTGGTTCCGTTTCGCGATATAATTTCTTTCATAGTATCTCATAGTCATCGTCTGTACGACGAGTTCAACGACTTACAATTCAAGGTCATTCAAGGTTTCTCTCAGGTATTTCCTCTTACGCACTTCTTCTCTGTCCAATCCACTCAAGGTCACATTACGACTCATTAAATTCACATTTCTTTCCTCTGAAAGAGTACCAACGAACACGCCATTCTCTTAAAAATAATTACGTTGACATTGAATTGACCTTCGAAAGGAGGGATTAAAAATAGCCTGCTTGTCCCAGAGTATCGTAACTTAAAAACAAAAACAAATTTCCCTCCTTGTTGCGAAACCTTCGATTACATAGTATGTATATTGGTCCACTAAAAGTTTCATGGATATCGAGATCGACCTTTATATAGAAAACAACAAAAACGGGTCGCAAGCTTTCATATTTTCTCAATATAAAATAATCAAACTGTTTATAGAAAAACAATTTCGTTCTTTTCGAATCGAATATTATATGTATTATTTATATCAATGGTTTTTAGCGTGACTACGTGTACAAAATAATTAAGTTGACCTTGCAGTGGCCTCCAAAGGCATTTTCTCGTCGCCATTATTTCGAGGTTAATGGCAACGTATTCAATAAAAAAGAAGGAATCGTTTGTTTATATATTATCGTTAGGATTTTCAGGATCTGCGAGCCTAAATTTTGTAGTGCATGCGTGGTAGGCGACCGGGTATATTCCCATGAGTCTTCCCATCTGTTCCCAATGTCCATGGGGTCCCGCGGGCATTTCCCTCTCCGTGTTAGGGCCACGTAAGTCGACCAATCGTTCCCTCCCTCGTCCCCCACCGTAGACGCAGCTCGACCCTCGAGCGGCCCCGTATTCAAAGACTTCGTCCGGCGTCTGTCGGCAGTTAGTCGCGGCCCGTCCACCGTGTAACGCGCGTCCACGCTCCGCTTACGAAGTGTCCCGGACCAATGTCTCGGATCATCCCTCCCCGTCACCCAAATCCTCGTCGATAACCATAGTCGTCGCTCGGCGACATTGGACTCCGTTCGATCCTACAGTGAGTGCACGGATCGCGGAACTGGTGCAACAGGTCCTGCGAGTCTGGAAATTAATTCTTTGTTCTGGAAGTTCTTTTCGACGCGATTCCATCGCACGAAGCCTCCATTCGTCGCGATCTCGACCGATCTCGTGATTAGACCGGTCCAGACGCTATTCGACTACCGATCTACGCCGAGTGACCGGCTTATTGAGGTGCCGGTTCTCGAACTTCCAGTGGACATCAGTGGGCCATTTTTTGTGGAGGTCTGGTTCATGGTGCGGGTAGTCTACGTCCGCGATTTCGAAGGTTGCCGAGCTACCTGGGACGGTCGATCGGGAGAAGAAAGTTCAGCCGCATCCGGCTCGAGGCAGCGCTGCCTTCGCCTGCCCCGATCGTCGTCGCTCATCCCCGCTCGGTGGAATTTCGTAACTCGTCGTTGAATTTCTCGGCCTCGCATATTTGCGGCGACTGCGAGTCGTTAGCGGAGGACGAAGAGGAAACCGATCGGAATGACGCGGTCCTTCCGCGGAACGCCGGCACGCTGACCGTCCCGACGCGTTTCTTCGCGACGCGTTGGTCTGCAAAAACCCGCGGAATGAAAGGCGTCGCGCGAGCTGGTTTTCGGGAGGGATCGCATGGAGCTATTCCGAACTTCTGACGATTCGGCGCGGACCAGTCTCTCGTGAGTAAATATTTCACGAGGCATATTAGTTTGTTCGGCAGGGTAAACAGACGTAAAGTATAATGGAAATTCTGTTTTCGCGATACCAGGGGACAGTTGGATAAGTCTAATTGAAAGTAGGGCTTCGAAGATCGTTGAAAGTATTAAGACTATTGTCAGCGTTTGAAGTATTAGCTCTGGTGTAAGTGTTAGGGCAATTACGAGCGTTGGAAGCGTGTTACGACTATCGTGAGCATTTGAGGTATTAGTTCTAATGTAATTGTCGGATGTATTAGGACTATTACGAGCTTGTCCCAGTTACCAAACAAATTTCAAATCGTGCAAAAGAATGATTGGAAGAATACTTTTATGTATCCCCCCTCTACACTACCCAGCAAGGCTTCTGGATCCGCTTCTGTTCTGGGAGGCATAAGTTATTGTACTAGGTGTGGTTGTTGCGGACATCAAGACCAGATTCCTTCTGCAATCTATTAATATTAATCCTTCTTGACAATAGGGCGGATAATTCTCTCGACACTTTTCCATTCAAACTATTGTGTACAAATTTTACCTTTCCGAACACATGAAGTTGTTCCATTATTCGAAGCTAATAGCCAATGATGCAATCAACCCGGTTGAAATGATAAATAATGACTCACAAGGAAAGTTAAGAAATTGTTCTACCAAAAACCAGTTGAATTAAACATGAATTTCTTATTTATTGTAGTCAGAAGTAACGATGAAAAATTTCTAGTCAGAAAATATAGTTTGATATTTCTGAACACGATAAGCAAGTGTATTTTTAATTCAATAGTTTCTAGCAATGAATATGTAATTGCGTTTGGTAATTAATGATCTGTTTGCGTTGCCTAGAGAAGAGAACAGTGATTCTGTAACACTAATTAACTATCACGTAAGGCAAAATATCGTTATTAAAAAGTGAGGAACAGCGTTTCTTAGAAAACCAGCAATTACGCGATGTTTTGCAAATCTTTTATTGCCAGTTCGTGCTTTTTTCCACTCCGTTCTGATTAACTGTCCCTTTATTTACAACCGAATGCAGCGCGTTGCGTGCCAAGAGCAGATAAAAGAATGCACGATTAAAGAACTCTTGAATACCGTGAAATGTTTCGGATGAAGATTGCAGTTATTATAAAATGCTTTTGCTCATAAAACGTAATGTAAAACAAAGTTGACCTTTGTATGACCTCCACGCGTTCACGAGTACCCTTCCGTATGCAAAGAAAAGAGAGAAAATAGAAAAAGTTTGAAACAAAAAATTAAACGCGTGTTCGTCTTGGCTATTAATTTCATACTATCGCGGATGAAATTCACAATTTATTCAATAACGGTATTTCGCCAATAAATTTCGTTACCTGTCGACATTTCGTGATTCGTTCCACGACAAATTCGTTTCTTTACGTTCCGATAGATTCGTAGGCAAATGCCATAGGTGCTTTGATCCGAGAATCGAAAGCGTAATGTTGGAATTTCGACGGCACGAACGACCTTTCTATAAATTTTGTTTCGTCTCTAAAACACGGGACTGGCGTTTCTGCATGAAATTTACGTAATTACCATACGATCAGGGCATTTCGATGCCGATAGCTTCACGGTTAAAAGCAATTGTCCCCAGAAAACTACCGTTAAAGTGATCGTGACCTCGATCCAGTCTCCGTAGATTCTGTATAGATCCGCGTTCATCGTCTATATATGACTAAACAACTGGATCGGCAACTTTTTTACGAAATCGTAGATCAGACATAGCCTAAACTTGATGCGAGAAACGAACTTCGATTCTCACAATCGAACTTTCGAAATACAACCGTGACTATATCGTTCTTCGGCCCCCAGAAAATTATATAAGCGGTTGTTTAAGAAATACTAACAATATTGTAATTTCATACATTCCATATAACCTAAAATTTACTCTAAAAGAGATTTAAATTCATTTCAATTTAGCTGAAATGCTTTGTTTGGGGAGGGGGCGTTGAAGTATATTTTTTAACTTTCTTTTGCATGATTGAAATATGCTTATAAGTTCTTTATTACTATGTATGTGCGATGGTAGCCTAAACAAATATATTTCTTTAAGACTTTGTGACTTTAGGAAGGGGCATAATTGCCTCTCTCTTGGATGGCTCTATTCGATAGCTATATTGGATTCCTCTGTTGAATTCCTCTATTAGATTCCTCTATTGGATTCCTCTATTAGATTCCTCCATTTGATAGCTCTATTGGATCATTCTATTGGATAGCTCTATTGGATACCTCTATTATAGAGCTCTATTGAGTACCTTTATTATAGAGCTCTATTGGATAACTCGATTGGATACTTCTATTATAAAACTCTATTGAGTACCTCTATTATAGACCTCTATTGAATACCTCTATTATAGAGCTCTATTGAGTACCTTTATTATAGAGCTCTATTGGATAACTCTATTGGATATCTTTATTATAGAGCTCTATTGGATAACTCGATTGGATACCTCTATTATAAAACTCTGTTGAGTACCTCTATTATAGACCTCTATTGAATACCTCTATTATAAAGCTCTATTGAGTACCTTTATTATAGAGCTCTATTGAGTACCTTTATTATAGAGCTCTATTGAGTACCTTTATTATAGAGCTCTATTGGATACCTCTAATGGATACCTCTATTGGACATGTCTACTATATCAATTAGAGCGTTCTCTAAAATTTTACTATTTATAATATTTTTTTACAGACGTCACTATCACAGAGCAAAGCTTAGATACAGTTCAATCGGGAATATGACGTGAATTATCTTAAGAAATAAATCATTCTGTATCAGAAAATAATATTAAAACGCACGTAGATTACAATACGCAGCAGGCCAGAAAGAGATTAAGTTTATAACAGCGCGTTAGTTACTCCCGTATCGCCGTTGAATTAATTCGGATCTCGTTTATCTGATGACTCCCGGATTCCTGTGGCTGCTGACGCCTAATATGTAGACCGACTGTCGCGAAAAAGGAAAAAACGAAAGCTGGAAGACGTTGGATAATGGCGACGATCGGTTACTATTCTGTATAACGGCGGGTACGGCGGGAGGGGACGCGAATTCCATCTCTTGATCACGGGAGACAACTTTGAAACATTTTATCGCATCGTTAGAACATCTCTCGATTGCGTTTCCTTGCACCAAGACCAAAGGAAGCATCGAAGACCGTGAAATAAAAAAAGAAAAAAAAAGACGAGGCAGAGGATGCGCGAAGCGGGGACGTTATAAATAGAATCGACTCGGCGAGATGGATGAAGAATTTCGAAACGAGCAGAAAGGAAAACTTACGTGGAACTCGATGTGTCAAGGACTTTCTTTTTTTATTTCTGTAGGGAAATTTACATTTAAAGACGCTACGGTCGAAGAGATATAAAATAATTAGACGCGTGGAAGGGTGGATCCGAACAGACCCCAACTGTTTTCTGTTGCCAAGCCAGGAATTTCTGAGAACAATGTCGAATTGCGTGGCACGTTCGGCGAAACGAGCGTGCAGCGATTGCAATGCCTTCCTGGGGATTATTTCCCTCGTTTACAAAGTATAGTGAATTGATAATCGAACCGATTAAGTCCAGAGACGCGCGACGTTTACGTAGACTACGGCACACACGCGACTGGCGGCAACAAAGCTGCATGATACACCGTGGATATTGTAAAAAAACGACGTTTTAAAGTCCTGACGTAAGACAGATATCATCTGCGGTGGATATTATAATATAATGTACGAGCGAGGCGACGACGCAATCTGCGTGACTAACGTTTCGTAACGAAACGCGGACAGATCGTTATTAACATGGGTGCTGAGCGTTTCGTGGAGGCTTAAGCAACGCCTGGGGTCCTAGATGAGGAATTGCGAAAGGCACGTGATTCGCGAAGATACGTCAGTAGTCCAACTGGACACACATACGCCAATTGGTTGTACATGACGTTATAGCAATCTTCCTAGGAAAGCTAAACGTTGCACTAGTGGTCCAGTTAGATCCATATGACACTGTAGTAATCCTAGTAGTCCGATTGAGCAACCATGACACCGTACTAGCCCCACCAGGGAAGCTAGAATTTAATGTAATTACACGCACACACAACACTTTGGTAATCCAAGTAGACCAATGGGGGATCCGTGGCGTCATAGCAGTGATATTAAAGTAGTTACACTCTTTAGTAGTTTAGAGGAACACACACGACACGCTTACGATCCTACCAGAGAAGTAGAAATTCACTAGAAGCCTAGACACACGTGAAACCCTAGTAGTTCAACCAGAGATTCACACTTTTCATCCAATTAAGGATTCGTGTCACCCAGCTAGTCCATTAGTAGTTTAATTAAAGACACGTGCCACTCTAGTAGTCCGGTCGAGGAAATCCACGACCACCCTTTTCATCTCGGTAGGGAAGCTGGTCCTATTAGTGTTCAAACTTAAGGCACACGACACTTCAGTAGTCTGACTAGCGACTCGTGGCTAAGCATTGTCCGAGGACCTAGGTGACACAGTGTGAAAGGCATATGATTCACAAAGGTCCGTTACTGAGCCAACTAGAGACGTATAATCTTCTAGCGATTAAATTATAGCTTCATAGTAAACTGGTAGTTTTACCAGGGAAGTTAGTTCAACTAGACTGTATATAGAGACTCGCTTGTTGGTCCAACTAGGCAATCGCAATCTCAGTGATCTAACCAGGCACATTTAACCTCTTCATAATCCAAGGACCTTACGTAACCTCTGAATGGTCAAGCTTATGAACTCCTAATAGCCCAATCGAGCATCTATAATGCTAACAGCGGCTCGACTACAGACACACGGCGTCTCAGGGAATCATGACGACTCGATAGTCTTCGCGCAGAGGAAGTCTTTGAAAGGCAGCTCAGTTTTCCAGGGGTGATAATTCTGGTAGCGTGGGTTCTTCATCCACTGAACCCTTCACGGTGAATAGGGTCTACGGTAGATCAATAGTAATAGGGTGACTGGCCATTTCCCAAGAAAGTATTCGATTG